AAAAAAAAAAAAAAAATGTCTCAGTAAGTAGGAACCAAGCTGGCTAAGAGTATTGGCTCAGCAAACTCCTAGAACAACATGTATGAAACTTGTTCACCATGGGTAACCCTGCCGGCATTCAAAATACCAGGGGCAAACTTCCAGCATCACAGCAACATACAAGGCACCACAGTGCTAAAGGACTAGTTAAATGTGTCTCAAAAGGCAGAATTCAAATCAATTCTGCAAGCATTTATTGAGTACCTACTTGCCCTGGGGATGCAGAAATAAATTATTTCACTCTTGGATGTACTCATTCTAACTTTTCAGCAATGCCATTGTTTGCAGATCCCTTCATTTATTTTAGTGGTATTAGCTAATTAATTAGCTAACTTTAGGCACATGGATATTTTCTCATTATGAAAATGGGTGCCAGTTGATGAAGAATGATCATCAACAAATTTATTCATATTTACTACTAACTGTTTAGTTTGTTTTTTTAAAGAGCTATTCAAGGACAATTTTCCATAAATGAAAGAGGGGCAAAGTGATAGCATTTTCTAGGGTAGAGTCTATTATTTAAGCCACATGTGGAGAGAGGTTATTACTGGCTGGACCCCATTTGACTGGTAACCTTGAAAATATTAGAACTGTATGGCTGGTCCAGTGATGCCATAATAATATTTGGGAAAACTTACTTCCTCCTTAAATACAGGAATCACACTCAAAGTGCATGGATCACTAGCATTTTTGACCTAGTATGGTTTAAATCTATTTGTCAGTACAGAATTGTTCAAGCTCCTAAAATTTCTAATTCTTTTTAATTAAGATACAGTTGGATGGGGGAAATTACACTTGTTACATCCTGAAAAGTGTCTGGTTCAGCTCACTAACAGGACTTGCCAAAACTCTTTATTGTCATTAAGTATGTCACCCAGAGGAAATTCCTCTCCTGTGCTGGTCAGTAACCCATAAGGGCTGTAAAAGTTCATCTAGATCACTGTGCATGAAGCATGATGCTGCAAGATTCTCTTACAGGGTGTTTTCCCAAATTCTTTCCTAATCACGTTTCATGATTATGACACTGGGAATTATGTCTCCAGGATGGGACTGTTTATATTCTGTACCTTGCAAAGCCCACAAAAGTCTCATCTCAAGATTCCTTGCTATCTTTGGGTCCAGAGTCCAGAATTTTTTTGAAGTGAACATCATTATCCAGGCTATTAACAGCTATTGCACCATATTGACAGTTGGGCCTGGGGAGAATTGAGAGGACTGTTAAGCCCTGTTCCAATGGTGAAAGAATATGGATCAGAGCAGTCACATTCATGCCCTGCTCCACTCAACAACCATATCTACCACCTCCGAGAACAACCATTTTCTGCCCCCCACCATTTCCCCATCCCATCTTTAGAAAACCACAACAGCCCAGACTGGATAAGATAGATACTTGCCTAAACAATGAGTTAATGGCAGATCCAAGGTTAGGATGTTGTCCTCCTCCTGAATCTTATTTACTCCTCAGTTCACTCAATTACCCTCTACCCTTAAGAAATAGTATTCATTTAAATGACTGGGGTGGGGACAGGGGAAAATTGAAAGAGAACATGAGAAGTATCTGGACTGATGCCCATCAGTATCAGAGGTAACTAACAAGGTAGAAAAGACCTTTCCCATGTGATCTCAGAGAAAACAGCCTAATGATTAGCAGTTACAGGGTTACCATTTCTGGTTTGAAACTCAAATGAACTTTGTACCCAGAAGTATCATCTCACCAGGCAGTGATTTCCCAGTCCCCAAAGATATGTGAGCAAAGGACCTGTCTCAGGGGTTTGTTCCTTCAAAGTGAAGGGGAGAAGATAGATTTCTGAGCTCTTTTCCAATGTTATGAGGATGTGGCCATTTATTAATTGACTTCCATGTGCTCCACTTGATCATTAAGAATCTGGCAGGCCTTTTCAAGGATTCAGTAGCTTCCAGGCTAGAAGTGGCTGTCATTTCCCACTTGTTCAGAGAGTATCCAATATAAAGTGACTGTAAGATCTTGACCAATAGAAAAATGTCATAGAAATTTAGAGTTGTTCAGATAGTCAAAGTTCATCTATTCCAAGTGACATCATTTGAAGGAGAAAGAAATGTGGCATCAGAGAGGTGACACAGCTGGCCCAAGTCCAGACAGTAGTTATGACAGTATCTGTTAACACCACAGCCAGTCATCCTTCAGCCTTATTCATTACTTAGCTCCTTTCTGAGCATCTGCCACATGACAACATTTACTGTATGATGACAATCCAAGAGGGAGTACAACAAGCAAGTCCTGCCCTCCTAGTACATACATTCAGGAGAGAGGAACCATAGTGTCAAACATATAAAGTAGCTGAGTTTACCAAAAAGAAAAAGAAACTGATTGCTATTGAGGTGATTCCAACTCATAGAAACACTAGAGTACGAAGTAGAACCACCTCATAGAGTTCCCAAGACTATCTTTATAGGCACAGACTGCCTACCACATTTTCACCCTCAGGTCCCCCAATCTTTCAGTTAGCAGCTGAGAGCTGTGTTATCAGCTGAACTTAACCAAATGATTTTATTCTTAAAGCCATTAAAGTATGTAACTCCCCTCTTTTGTGTCAGGGGTATACAGATTGATCAAATACAGGTGATGTAATTTTATTGATAAGCCCTATGTGCTTTCATTGGTTTTATGTTTTATGTTAAAACATCACAATCCCAAGGTTAAATGCATATTGTATATTGTTGGATATATACTTCGCTGGTATGTATCCCGTGTCTTTGGGCACTACTGTGTAAATTCTAATCTCTTTGAATGAAATGTTGTATGCGTTAACGTATTTAATGATTGTAACTTAATAAACTGGCACTGAAGGCCACAGAATTTCAACAATAAGGTTGATTCTTTTGTTAATTTGATTGCTCATTTGTATTTCTTTCTAGACTGAGGTCTGTCGGTGACCTCTTGGGATTTTAAGAATACATCTGGCTCTTAATGTACTTAATGCAACTAGTTTTTCACAGATTATAGTAACTCTTAGAATACATTGACTGTGGAATACT